TAAATTTTGAGATCAATTTTAAAATAGCTCAGCAATTACCATGGAGAGCAAGGGAAGCATTAGCCGGTGCAGATTTTGAAAATGCTCAAACAGTTGTCACGAGGTTGCAATATCTGGACTTGAATCCGTTGGATAAAACAGGGGAAAAAGAAACAGAAAATAAAGGGAAAAGCGAAAATAATCAAATTAGAAATTTAACAGTTAAAGAAAGTAAGAATAACGATGGGAAGGAAAATGCTAAATCATTTAATCAGAATAAAGTATATAGAAGAGAAGATAGCACTTATAATAATTATAATCAGCGGAATGGATATAAAAATTACGGATATGAAAGAGATAATAGACAATATGGGAGGAATGGATCGAATTATGGTGACCCGCAAGTTGGAGATTGGTATAATAGGAACAATTTTAGATATAGAAATAATGGTCAATACTCTTTTAATAATTATAATAATAGATTTAATAACGCAAATAGATTTAATGCCTATTCTAGTAATCGCCAAATGGAAAATCAGCAGGGTTATTATAATCGAGCAAATGTTCATGATATGCGATCTCGTGCGATTAGTCAACCTTGGAGAAGAAATAGTCAAATGCCTTTCGCGAGTTCAAACAATAGATATGTAAACATAGGTGACAATAACAATACTAATTTGACGGATGTTTCGCAGCCTTCAATGAATTATCAAAACACGAATAACCGACAACATTTAAACTAATGGAGCGCTCGGAAGAGAATGGTCCTACTCCGAGCGGGAATGATTTGGATATAGTGAAGGACCTACAATATGGAGTTGAGTTTTGGAGAGAGGGGATGTGCCGCTGAGATGAGTGTAGGATGCCCAATGTTAAAGGTAAAAATTAATAATCACACACGCAAAGCAATAATCGATACCGGTAGTTGTGAGACATGCATTTCGGATACGATGTATGAGAAGTTATGTCAGGATGGTGATGTGAAAGTATTGCCGTTAACAGGTATACGCATATATAATCCTATCGGAAACAAATACGTTCAAATTAAAAGACAAATTTATGTAGAGGTGGAAATAGATAAGCAAAAAATTGATACGGTATTTTTGGTGATTCCGCAATTATCAGCAGAAATAATATTGGGATCGAAATGGCTTGCTCATAATAGATGTATAATTGATTATAAATTGTTGCAAATTAAAATTCGAGATGTAGTAATTTGTCCGTCGCGGGTATCGTTTGAGCCGGCATTGCCCACGAAACAAGACTCACATGAATATGAAAGTAAGTTGGAAGTAAATAGTATTGTAAGTTATATAGAAAACGAGGTGGAAAGTATAGAAAATAAAAATCGTGAAGAGAATGAGAATTTAGACATTGATAGTAAAGATGATAGAATTAAAGATAGAAGTAGTAATGACGAGAGTAAAACAAATAAAGGAAAAAAAAGGCAGGAAGAGGATATTATTAATATAAGTGAATTATTTAGCGAAGAACAAATAAATGCGAATCGAATTAATACACTAAAAGTAGTAGAAGAAGCAAATAATGAAAGTGACAACAAAATAGTTAAAAATGATGAGTTGATTATTTGTTACAATATAGCAGATAATGGTAATAAAAGTAAAAGAGAAAAGTTGTTAATGCAAAGAGATATGGTAGAAAGTATGCCAACACGTTATGATGATAGAGAGTATAGTCAAAGCAAAGATACAAGTATAAATAAAGAAGGAATACATATAGATAAAGAGAATGTAAATATAAAAGAAAGTAAGAGTGAGAAATGTTTTTGGGACAAAGTCTGCTCGTCTACGCGCAAGCTTGCGACGCTTAGCGGCTGGCAGAGGGCTGCATTAAATGAAGTATTGTACAAAAACAGGAAAGTAATGGAAGATAATTTAGGGGGTACTACGATATATGAACACACCATTAAGATCAATGCAAAGAAACCGTAT